TCGTATGTTTGAGAGGTATTCTTGTCAATCCCCATATTCATTCCTACAGGTCTTGTAATATTAATGATGGTTTTTACATGTTTTAATTCAAAAGTTGACTGAACTCTAAATATTTTATTGACGTCATTACGTTCTACGTCCTACTGTGTCGTGTAATCGAAAGCTCAGCTCCCTATTTAATGATCGTTTTCAAAGATTTTATTTCAAATGTTTATTGCACTTTAAATAATACTTCTGTTGCATGTGTCTTTAAGATGGATAACTATCATTCAGCGTTTCCGATGCCGCAATCATACAAACATCAATTGATCCAGTTGATTCGTAGGGCCGGCCTGCTACCGGCTACTATGTTATATTTCTAGCAAAATCATTGTGCTCTGTCAGGTCCATCAGATGACATGATAAAAATGGCGATACAAGTAGATGTTGACTCGATCTTGTGTTGTGTGTGAACGCTTCTACCATTCTGTTATGAATTATAATAATTTATTAATTGATTGTAATAAATAATAATATTATAATTTACGGATTTTGAAGGCTTATTTATTCGATTTTACTATTAAGTCTACTAAAGTAAAAATATATACTGAGATGTGTATAAGAGACAGATATTATTAATATTATTATTATTATTATATTACATCAAAACTCTGGTATTTAGAACTATATAGGTACTGTCACAAGCCAGGTTTTCCGTGTTATTCCCCCTTTAAACGGATCACGTCTGAATGAGCAAGTTCAAAGGCAAACGTACGTATTAATGCAAAACAATATATTATGAATCAGGACCAACCACCCTAACAACATACATCAACCCGCACGATCCAATGCTTAACTATAATCTCAAATCCTAGGTTAACCCCAAACGTCAAGACCATCCCACATAAAAACACATTTACTGAGATCAACCAACCCCCACAAACCACACAAATAACAGCCCCCCCCCCCTCCAAAAATACCTTATCTACTACTCAGTGGGTGCAAACGACACACCCAAACTGCAATCAACCCCTATTACCCAATGTCCATCGCTTTTTCAACAATCAATGTTTCAACGAAATATATATATAGTACTCGCGGTTGACTCAACGTCTCAACTCGCGCTTGTGCACCTCGTTTCCAGCTTTTGTGCCAGGTCCGTTGCTTGTATAAAGCCACCGAAGTACAATGTCCCTTCTTCAATCAGACAGACAGTATTTTCATTCAGTTTCCAAAATTCAAACTAAAATTACCAGAGGAGCCCTGAAATACACATCAATCACAGAATATGACGTTTGCAGATTATGCGTTAACAGTTAAATTAATGATAATAATAATAATAATAATAATAATAATAATAATAATAATAATAATAATAATACCGATCATAATTAATTATCCGCTACCACTAAAATCTAATATCTGAGCGAGCAATAAAACGTTATATCAAGGATTAACCATCAATTACGTACATTCCAATACAATTTATAATATGATAATCAATAATAAGATAAACCAAACTATAAATCGATATACTAAGCAAAATCTATAATGCAACAAATTAGCACACGATAAGCCTATCACTTTAAGAATTCTGTATTTCCAACTTACAGTCTGTACTGACTCCTCAAAAACACATAAACTCGGCTTTCTTAGCCCACTACCGTATATACCGTCTAATTTCCAGCTATCGCTGTTCATAGGGCTATTGCCAATTTAATATCCACTATTCTTGAAAACTGGAGCTAACGCTCAGGTTATATTTTACCTATGCTATCGCACTCAAGACCCACTCTCATTGAGTCTCTTCATGGATCTGCCCCTCCCTGAATTTCAGATTTCCCGGCGATCTTTATCATAATACGCAAATTAACAATTAATTGTCATACAAATTATCTACGTTACCCATCAATCCTAAACCCCCCTTACACAGAGATCAGTACACCCCTAATCATTCCTGTCAACACAGCGTCTGTGTTGTCATGATAACAGTATTATAATAGAGTATAATTCCGCCCTCTTGTGACACTACCCAATTCCTAAGAAAAAAAAACTTCATCAATATTAATATTTACACAGGAAGTCTTTTCTTTGAGTAGCCAACTTAACATTATTTCGTAGTTTCCTACGTCATACACTACATTTGATTTGCTATAGGCCTATTCACCTGGGCAACGACTCAAAAAGTCTGATAATGAGTTTGAGTTCCATGAGTCTACGTTGGTTGAGGGAGGAGAAATTAGTGGATATGAGGGCACACCGTAGGTTGCTGATGAAGGCCACAGGAGTGGCAGAAATATCCGAGTTTACAATAAATCAGTGTTCTTAAAGTCTACTACTGAAGTTGTTTCATTATTTTCTATATATATATATATATATATATATATATATATACATATATATATATTTATATTTATATATTTATATATTTATAGTTATATATGTATATATATTTCTTTTCTTATAGACGAGGGGCGGCTCCGACCATACAATCTGACGGCCTAACTCAGGCTTAGGCAACATACGTTTCGCCTTTCACTATATCACTATCATTATTGTACCATTATTTAGGCAATACTGAGTTCCCTAATGAATATAATATAGTAGCCGGTAGTAGGTCCTACGAATCCCCTGGATTAATTGACGTTTGTATGATCATTATATAGAAAATATTAACAAATTATACACATGCATAATATAATATATATTTTAACTACTTGTGATTATGAATACATTTTAACTCCTGCAAACCACTACTTGGTTATGTAGTTCAAGGCTATGACTCATCTGATTTATTCAAATTCAAAGTCGGAATTCCATGTTCACGTGACTGATAAAAAAGCTAATAATTTCTTTTACTTAAATGTGCTCATATCAAGTACGATCGTCCTAAAGAAAATTCGGACAATTGAATGAAATATTGATAATACGTTGCCAGCCATTACAAGATCATTTATTATTCTACAAAAATATGTAGGCCTATTGAGTAAAGATTTATGGGTGCCGAAAGGAAAAAATGTACTTCGGAGAAAGTTAAGAACAAGCTTGAAAGAGATTCAAATCGACTGTATCTTAAGACCATCGTCATTGCGTATGCAGTCAATAGTGTACCAATTTGAAGTCATGTTATAAACTATAAGATAACATTATGACTGAATAATATGTGTGTACAGTATGATTGTTGAATATGTCCTTTCTGAATAAGTTTGCTAATTACAAATTTTTATTACCAAAGTTAAAAACTACCGTATCTTTAATGTGTATATTCAAAATAGTAGAGTACCAAGATGGTCATTTGTTTGTTGTTGAAAATGTCCGTCTATATTATACCATACTCAGGTGTTCATTGCTAGCAGCAGTTTTTCATAACATGCCGCAATGCGTTTATTTTGTACCGTACTAATGGAATATTCTGGAATTTATGACCATTTGTAATAACATATTTCCACAACGGTGAGTTATGAGACTAAATGTTTGAAATTGTTTAAAATATAATTATACATGTTTCTATTTTTGAAACAGATTATTATTATTAAATAACCGAAAATGATGCTTCGAATCATTGAAATTTGTTAACTAATCACTAAACGTTTTCATAGCTCCATAATTGAGAGTTTGAGATTGTCTCAGATGTATCAGAAGATTAGTGGGATGGTCTGAGATTGTTAGACTATGGATGAAAAGATTGGTGGATTGGCCTGATAGACTGATAGACGGATGAATCAGAAGATTAGTAGATTGGCCTGATCGATTAATAGACTGATGTATCGAAGGTTTGGTGAATTGGTATGGCCTGATCAATTGATGGACTAGTGGATCAAACGATTTGTGGGTACAACAATAGTCGGACAGATTGATAGACTGATAGATCAGACGATTAGTGGATTGGCCGATAGATTGATAGACTGATGGATCAGAAAATTGGTGGGTTGGCTTGATCGATTGATAGACTGATGGATCAAATTTGCCTAATAGATTGATAGACTGATGGATCAGCACATTGGTGGATTGGCCTGATCGATTGACAGACTGATGAATCAAAGGATTGGTGGATTTGCATGGCCTCATCAATTGATACAAAAAGGGTAGAACAACAATCTGATAGATTGATAGACGGATAGATTAAAATGATCAAATCAACCGTTGAACTGATAACAATTGGTTGGCAGGCTGATGCATCAAACTGTTGAAATGGTAGAGCATTGATATGTTGATAGACTGATGGATCGAAATGTTGAACAGGTAGAAAATTGATAGGTTGGTAGACTAATAAATAACCCGTGGATTGATGAATATATACTGATTGATGAAACTACTAAAGTGATAGAGTAATAGGTTAAAAGACTACTACTGGTAGATTGATAAAAGAATGCTACATTGATAGACTGATGGATCAAAAGAATTTTGGATTGATACTTACATATTTATTTATGGATTGATGCCCTAGAAGATAATATCAATATCCAGTACCTACACACCTCCGATAGTTCAAGGTAAGTTAGGCCTAATAGTGTGTGCACAATGTCTATAATATGGAAATTAACTTATTAATGCTTTTTGGGTAACTGCTGAAACTGCAACATTATAAAATATTCGCATCGGGAGCTGAGTCTGGTTATGTTCATCCAATACAGTAACCGATTTTAATTGGAAGCATTGTGCATTTAATTGTTTAACTCATCCATATGACGTGAGTTGTAATGTAATATACCAACTTTTTTCAAAATGGTATTATAATAACAGAGTTTCTGTTACAGTTATGTGACTAGTTATATTGCATTTATCAGGAGGACATGCATACAATGTAGAATAGATTTGCCCATGATATAATATATTATCGTTACTAGAGAAATATATAGAAACATTAATGATGATGATATTGATGGTGGTGTTAATGGCGATGGTGATGGTGATGACGGTGTCGGATAAGATAGGAATGATAATGATAGTGATGGATAATATTAGCCTAATAGTGGCAATGAGCCCAATATAAAGGCATGCATAATGATCATCTTACTCACGTTTTCCACGTATATGCAAACTATCTTCTCGGGTGAATTGGAGAATTGTGATCAAAGATGTGAATAGGACCGTACTGATTTCTAATTTCAAATGTCGTCTGAAGTCTCACTCTGTTCGACACCTTTATTGATGAGGCTGGTACGCTTCCACAAACCAAACAGAGATCAAAACTCCGGATCCTGCAGGTGAAATACCTATATTTTACGTTTCAACACGCACAATTACAATAATGCTGACAATGATGTATATGTCGCCAGAACGAAATTGAAATTCAAATTGCATAGGAAAGCGTGACTGTTTATTGATGAACATGTGGTCAATTCAGGAGCAGGATTATCATATCAATGACCTAACGACTTAAAAATCCATAAGTCCAGTGAAATACACAAAAAACTATAAGAAATGTAAACATGTTTTTACAATTACGACGGCAATAATTCCAATACATCCTATAGCATTCACTGTTGGCGGGTTGTGAAGTGGTTCACACTATGTTTCAAACATAAATATGAGCTGCACGAGTATTGTTGACTTATAAATAATAAAACATTTATTGGCCCTTTTCTCAACAATAATGCCATCAATCAAGCCATAATAACAAAAAATTTAAAATCTGCATTATTATACATTAAAAAACATTTTAACAAATAGAATTGCTCATTTCAAAAGTTATAAGCTTGAAGTAAACATCAATTATTACTGAGCCAATACATGGTGTAGGGAAACGAAAACGTGTTATGAGAGGATTGTAAATTACCTGTTTTAAATTTCAGATGGGTAACTTTAATGAGCCAACGCAATTTGTATGGCCTATAATATTTCGTTATGTAGGGTGTTTCAAATAGATGTCCAGATAGGCTGACTGCACACTTAGTGTGATTGTAACGCCAGTGAGCCATGATTTCAATATTATTTGGTCGCATGAAATGAGTGTATACCGTAAAACCTCGAATTGAAGCCCTGGCCTCCTTAATTTTTTTTTCTTTGCGAACTTTGAATGGGCTTCTTATCGAGGTGGGCTTCATTTCGAGATGAGCTTCTTTTCGAGGCTAAGTAAAGGGGGGGGGGGTGGCTTTTTCAAAATGAACGCTGTAAATTCTGTGAATTTGTAGGCCTACTATAAAACAATAAATAAGGCCACTTTAACATCAATCTGTATCATGAAGTGTATGGCCTTAAATCACCTAAACTACTGTATAACCAAGCTTTTTTATAATTTATTTTGTTTTATGAAATTCAAGTACAGTGTTAGTACTGTACTATCTCTAAAAGAAACCTATGCTATCTTGAAAAGAAGCCCATGAGCTTCTTTTCGAAGCTAATTTTGCAAAAAAAGAGGGGGCTTCAATTGGAGATAGGCTTCATCTCCATGTTAACCCCACTGGGCTTCAATTCGAGGTTTTACGGTATAGCTCATTCAAATTTTATGCACGAAAAAAACAAAAAACAAAAAACAACATGCGACTATTTGGGAGTGTTGATGCAATACTAAGATGAGACCGTTAAGTGCAACGTATAATCATAGAAAAATACACATAATAGGCCTATATGCCTAAATTTGTACCGTGTTAGAGGGACTGTAAAATCCGTCCATGAAAAACATGACGTAAGCGCCTTTGTTCTCCTTAAAATTGCAGGGTATGCTAAGGTCTGCTAGTGGAAAAAGTTCGTTAGCCTACAATCCTGCATCAAAATACAATTTTACAAATGTATATTTTTTTTATACCTGCATGGTTGTCACATCATATCATATCATTTATTTTACCATTTCAAATTTACAAAAACGAACATAAAAATACAAAAATACAAAACGACTCAACAGTACCTGGTAGGATTTCTCGAAAAGGGCAATGGCCATTTGTCTGGGAACCGAAAAACAGATTTAGCAGAAATTTCAAAATATTTATTTGTAAAGCATCTTAACTATTATAAATGAAATATTATTATTACAATTACATTTATCAAAACTGGAATATAATTTAATGGAACACAGTTTCCACTCTTCAAAAGAATTCCTATTCCTGTACATTTAACTAATACCGGTCTTACGCATGCATAACTGTAATCACTGAGAACACAGAATATCTGGTGATACAAATAACATTGGCAGCGGAGGTCCCGACAGCTACTGTTAAGAGAAGCAAGCAATGAAAAGAGGAGCATGCGCACATAACTCTTGGAAGCAGCGCCTCCACTTCAGTGTTTGCTGCCATAAAACCTCGAATTGAAGCCCAACCGAGATGAAACCCATCTTGAATACACTCCATGATACTGATTGATGTTACAGTGGTCTTATTTATTGTTTCATCAAATTCACAAAATTTACAGCATTAATTTTGAAAAGAAGCCCCCGCCCCTCCACCCCCACCCACTCTTTACTTTGCAAAAGTAGCCTCGAAAAGAAGTTCTTTTCGAAAAGAACCCTATCCAAAGTTCGGAGAGAGAGAAAAAAAGAAAGAGCCCAGGGCTTCAATTCGAGGTTTTATGGTATTCCATCATGCAGTTAGCAGAATAGGAAGCTTTACCATTGTAGGGTATGCTTGAAAAAAATGCGGAAATTCTAAGCAGATGAGAGAACGACTCGGGTAGTTTAGGTTATTCTAGATACCAAGGCAATTTAGGCCAAAAAAACAAAAAAAAAAACAAAAAAAAAAACAATATTAACTTATGCTATTCACTGCACAAGCACCATTGATCTGGAATTGATTTCCATTTCACATCCGTCAGTCCAAGTCATTCACACAATTTAAGTCACTTCGCAAAACTCACTTGTTTTAATAAATTGTTGGTCTTAGAGCGCTGTGAGACTGCAGTATAAGAGCGCCATATAAATGCTCAATATAATTATTATTATTATTATTATTATTATTATTATTATTATTATTATTATTATTATAATAATAATTTATTATTATTATTATTATTATTATTATTATTATTATTATTAACTGGAGCAACCTACTCGAAAAATTAGGAATGGCATAGAAGGTTGTGCAAAGGAATGTTAATTAAAACTGAGAAAAGGTACAATAATTTTGTAATTTTTTTTGTTTGACTTGACGGTCCGCTAATGATGAAGTTACACATAATTATTATAATCCAGAAGCGAACAGAGAGCTGCCAGTCTTTTTTCTACAGTATGCACAAAGCCAGGTAATAAAAATACATAATGATATCAAAGAGACAACAACAAAAATAACAATGATACCATTAACAATGTAGTATTATATTGTAATTGTTTCACTACAAAGGATACCGTAACTGTAGTTATAGTATTCATAAATAGCAACAATAATAGCAAAAGCAACACCAACAGCAACATAATGTTAACATAATTATACGGCCGAATAATAATAATAATAATAATTAGTAAAATAATAATAATAATAATAATAACAATAATAATAATTTGTTTAAAAATATTTCATATTGATTCAATAATAGGCACATGTGCTCATTTGACCTAGCTTTTACAGAATAGTATGAAATAAGCCAATTAGAAAATAATTCGTGTTTAGTAAATATGTGTGGTGACAGTGGTGGTCCCAGAATAGAAAGACCCCAGAATAGAAAGGAAGCTTGCCCTATGTTTTTTTTTTTTTTTCTATATTATTTTTTAATTCATGCTGAAGACGTACTTTATGACCCCGTTCCGCAAACTGTTTATCCTACGAACCAAATTAAATGTCACGCACTCAGACTCGACCCATCCGCCTGAAGGCAAATTTCTTATATATATAACGGGTATAGACTAACTAAAACATACAATAACATACAGAGTCAGTACAACAATGTATAATATGTCAGAAAGCTTAGATGTTTCTTCGGCAATCACCAATTCAAGACTCAGGCTGGATAATACAAAAGCAGTCACTTAAATAGAAGAGTAATCTTATCTACATAAATGGTTTACCAGGTGGAATTAAGGGATCAACAGTAAAATTAGCCTACACGTCAGATAGGGCAAAATATCACTCCTATTAGTATTATTTTATTTTCATTTGTAAGCATAGACCTAACATTTACATTGAAATAACATTGCAAGGGTTGGCACTGAGTTGAAAATTTAATAAATAAAAACAAGATGTAATATGGAATTGATATACTAAAAGTGACTTAAAAACTACATGTTAAAAACTATCTCTGTTTTCTTACATAATATTAATGCATAAACGATGGCAATAGGACGTCAAAGCGAAAATATCTCTCTATGTTGAGGCCCTAAAAGGTAAATTAATAATAAAATATACTATAATAACAATGAATTACATTAGCGTGAGAAAGGGTTGCGATACGAGGAAAGAAATGCCCGCATTAGCCAGAGCAACTAATTTGACAAAACAGACAAAAGAAATATCATCAATCGTTTTAAAATGTCATCTAGATCGACGTTCCGCAAACTATGGTCTGCAGCCTAAATTTGGGCCGCGAAACATTTTTGGAGGGCCGCGAAGCCATCTGGAAATTTAAAAAAAATTAATAATAACAAAGAGACATTTCATCATGGAGAAAATAGTTTTTAATACAGCCGCTTCATTGTTTCAACAATTACGGCGCTTGCAAGCGCTGCTGAAGTGCCAGATGCCAGATAACTACAGTATTAAGTTTATAAGCGGTTTTTGTGTCTATTCCCCCGGCTCGGGAGCTAGACACTGTTATCGTCTAGTATGAACCCTGTAAGATCGAGTAAATCCGGTATGGAAGAATGATGGGATGAGTCATGAGCTAAAGGTAAAAATAAATATAAGACCTGTCCTAGAAAGATCACTACAGTAAACACAACACATTTCTTGATACCCGAATGCCCATGTGGATACTTTATTACTAAACATCCTGTAAGATACCGGTAGTCTTTCAAAGTTGCGGATTAACAGAGTGTGCTAAAAGTTTTTGGAAGTAGGAGAAAGCTGAAAGTGTGGCTGAACCGTGTTTGGTTGAATCATGTTAGAAAAAAAAACAATCAACAATTGTCGGGTGGGGGGACACACAAATGTACGGTATTATTTATTTAATAAAATAATATTTAATTTGTATACAATGCAATTTAATCACTCAGAGAACAGATAATGATGTCAAAATATTGTATATACATGGAGGCTTCATGATCAAACATTTCTTGCCAGGATTTGTTATGTTGGTCCCTGGCGCGGCTGGGCTGCTGGAAGTAAAAAGTTTGAGAACGCTGATCTAGACTACCAGCAACACTGTAACTTCTCCCACTTGAGCACTAAATACAAGAGGAGAGCTCCACATTTCGTGTATTGTCAACAAATTAGGTCTATACAAAAGACAATGACCTTCGTGACCTTCGTGACCCAGCCCTCATATGCCTTGGCCTGCAACGCCTTCCCCTTCAACTTCATTTAACAAATAACACCAAGATACGTGTTTTCTTTGTTTATAATTATGCGTCCTGTCACAACAATGACCGAGTGTTGTCTGTTGAATTACGAATGGCACCAACGTTACGAGCTGCCAATTTACATAAGTTCTGGATATGTACGTCCCATACCAATCGTTCATCTATATAAACTCCTAAAAATTTAGTAACTGGAACTCTGGAGATTTCCTTTCCATTCTTGATAATGTTATTTCCCTTTTTCTACTCCACCTTCCAAGATTTTAGTAAGAGTTTGTTAAAAAAGATAGAATATTGGAACAATATCTCAAATTGATCATCTTCTATGCCTATCAACAGCAATAACAACAACAATAACAGCAATAATAACAACAACAACAATAAACATATAATAATAACAACGTTTTTTATTAATAATAATAATATTATTATTATTAGTAGTAGTAGTAATAATAATAACAAAAACAATATAGCAATCACTAATGAAAATACGAATAAATATAACATCGATGACTCAAATTCAGGATGATAACTTGACCAAACCTTGTTTTGCCTATACCCAATTACATCCAATAACGAAAAAGATAACCATTTACCATAACCGTAGCGACAAAGGCTAACTA